CCAATTAGAAATCAGAGAAAGTTTTGTCTGCAAGCAGTTTAGCCGATATTACAATTTTACTTACTGTAATTCTGTTGTGTTGAATTGTGAATGCTGGTTTAGTTGGAAGAGTTCGAGAAAGCTGTCAGGTTGAGCTATGGACAACGTGGTGATGATCATACAACAGCTAGACATAAACAATTTATTGCTGCCATTGAAAATCAAATTTCTCATGTTGAAACAGCATTAAGGGAATCATTTAGTGTGGAAGGAAAGCAACCCCTTCGATGGGTACACCTGGATGAAGAAGAATCTGATGATTTTGCTGCATTTCTGTCTGGGACACCCCAGAGTATGCTATGTGCCAAAAATGAATATGTAGAACTTGGACCTTCTGTGAAAAGCTCTGAGGAAAATGACTTTAGAAGAAAAGACGTGGACCTTAAATCTAATGCTGCCTGCAGCAGAGACATTTCTGATGAAATAAAGGGTGTTAAAGATGTTATTACTATATCTAAGAATCCAAATTTTGTCATGGAAGTAAAGGGGAAAGAAATCGCAGGAATGAGGGATGATATAATTTATGATGCAGATAGAACAACTAGTACAAGGAAGGCATGCAGTTCACCAAATTTTGGTGAGTTGAGGATCATAATAGCTGACGAAGTTAAACACAGACAAAAACTAATTCCGGGGTGCGAGGACACACCTAAAGAAAAAGGATCCAAACTTGTCTTTTGGAAGCAAAGGTGTGCGCAATTGCATCAGGTAACAGCAGCAGTTAATTTGTTCAACCAGGTCAGTCTGTTACATATTTGAAAGGAAGAATTGATTATAACATTAGATTAAAAGGCGATACATCTTACACATGCAAGGAGAAAGAAGAGAACAATCATGGATTCTTATATTCTATTTGTTCTCTCCCCTCTGCTTTCTTTCAGTTGATAGATTATTATCGTTTGTTAATTCCAAGAAAAACTTATAAATTGTCTTATGCAGCTGTTTGGTCGGGTCGGTGCATCTCAGAAGCAAGTACAAAGTCCACAGAAACAATGGCAAACACCACTACGCTTACATAATCGTTGTTCTGTTCAAGCTACCCTTGGTTTAATGCTCACTGTTTTCCTGCTTGGTAAGCTTGATTTGCTTTAACTTGAAGCATTTCAATCATCAAGAAGTCAATATACCATATACTAAACTGAAAATGGTCAATACTTTCCAAACTGTTTTAATCAATTGCTTTAATTTATAACCTTCTCAGGCAACATGACATATTAAAATGAGTTAGTAGAAGATATTAGCTGTAGGCTGGGCTCTGTCAGGAAACAGTTTAAGAAATATATTTCTTTATATGTATGTAATATAAACAGAAACAAGAATAGGAGTTTTCATATCAGACTTTGGTGATAATTTCATGTTTCAAATTTGTGCAATTTCTTTCCCCAAAAAGAATACAGCCCTTCATTTCAAACAGATCTCATCCTTTGTAACTAAGACTTGATTGCAGCAGAACTCTCTGGGTATTTGTGTATCTGCTGGTCATATTTAGCAGGAAAGCCTTTTAACAGCCACTAGATTATTGTTTCTGGTCTAGTTTATGCGGACACATGATAAAATTTCATGACTTCTAGTGCCCATGTACATCATGTTGCTTCACTTGCTTCCAGCTTGTATGCTGTCTTATCTCTGTTGTTTCCAGTGACATTATTGAATAATAGAGGATATGGGCTTACAAGTATTTAGACGTAATTATTTGAAAGTGTTAGTACTTTTTTTTTTAATGAAAAAAGTGTTAGTACTTTTAGTTCTATAAAACTATGCTTATGAAGGGTTCTCTTTTTGCAGTACCGTTTGTATTTTATTCAAACTGAGATAAAGTGGTACATACACTGCATCTGATCAAGATGAAAACTGAAAGGTATTTTCAATTGCTTTCACTC